TCCCACCACCCCAGGCTGCTTCCAGCCCGATACCCAGGAGCCAGAGGCCCCACTCTGTGCAGAGCTGGGGGTGGCCCCAGAGTCCTGACTGGCTTGGGGAGCACCTCTGCCCCAGGGGTAGGTGCCAGGACCACAGGGTGTACGGGCTGTGGGTGGTGTGGGTGCAGTTGTGCCGGGCAGGCTGACGGGAGAGCTGCCCTGAGGCTGTCACTGCCAGCCTGGGCGAGTGGCACAGCACAGGCCCCCACTCAGGAGCCCAGACCCTGGGCTGGCGCCAGCTCTGCTGCTAACCACCCCTATGTGTTATCTGGGGCAGATCAGGTGCCCAGCACCTCAGGGCAGGGAAAAAGTGGCCTCTGAGCCCTTCAGGACGCCTAGGCAAAGCAGAGCCCAGGCTTTTCCTGAGTCCTTTCAGCTACAGCTCAGCTTCCAGCCTGCCAAAGGGTCGGAAACATCTTCTGGGCCAGCTAGTGCAATGGGGGTGCTGAATGGTCATGAGACATGGGCTTGTGGCCACCCCCTCTTCCAGAACCTCAGCAGAGATGAGTACCCTGGGCCCCCAAACCAGGGGGCTGAGGCCTAATGGGGTCAAGGCAGTACAGTGGCACACCCACTAGCAGCTGCTACTCTTGCAGGCCCTGCCCAGCCTCTCAGAGGGCGGAGCTGCAGCTGTCACAGGAACCTGGGGCTCCCGAGAAAGCACGGAGGTCAGGGCAGGAGCTCTTGGATCTGGCAGTAGGGGCTTTTCAGGTTTAACTGCAAACCAAGGGCTTTGAGAAGCGACCAACTGAACGGGAGAAGGTATTTGCAAACAATGCCTCTGATAAGGAGCTATTGGGTTGTCAGAAAAGTCAAGAAGCATTTTTGCGACAATGCAAAACAGAAAAACAGAAAAAATACGTCATGACTTTTCTGACAACCCAATAATACCCAAAATATATAAGGAACTCATACAATTCAACAACAAAGAGACAAACAATCCAATTAAAAAATGGGCAGAGGACACGAACACAAACNCCGCCTGGTCTCACTGAGGGAGCAGGGGACGCCCTCAGGCCTGTCCACCTGGCTGCCAACACACCGGGGACCACGGCCTCTGGGAGGGGATTGGAGGGGAGGCGCGGGCACACGGGGCATGCCCAGGGCGGGCAGGAGGGAGCGGGCTGGAAGCAGCCTGGCACCCCCGTCGCCTCCCTACCTGGCAGCCACATGGTATTAGCAGGTGTGGAAAGCGCTGTGCGGGCACCCGGAGACCCAGAGGTGGGCACTGCCAGATATAGTCATTTTCTCAGCTTGAGGGGGTGTCCCCAGGGCTCTGACCCTGGCACCCTAACCATTCCCGTGCTGCAGGCACTGATTGTGTTCCTCTCTTAGCATCACGTCATCAGAATAATCCGGGGTCCAGCCAGCTTCCTGGCTGCCCTGTGTCATGACAGAGGGTCTTGGGAAAAACAGCCGCTGCCTGTTGTCCATTCCGCGTGTGTGTCGGCTGCTTCTGGCCTGTCCCGACTTACTCTGTCATGGCCGCACCCCTGTGCCTGAGGCCTTAGTGACCTCCCACCCCCATGAGCCTGCAGTCCATGTCGTCCTCAGGAACCCCCAGTTCCACAGGGGCCACCACCCCCATGTCGTCAGAGCCCCGTGGGCCAGTCCCGGCAGACAGTTGTTAGCTGCCGCTCGTGTGTCCCGCCCTGACAGGGCCCATGAGGGCGCTCTGGGTCAGTGTCAGCTCAGGACCTGTGTGCCCACCGGTCTTCGAGTGTCTAACGTCCCTGTCCCTCTCCCAGTGCAGAGCTGTAGCTGGGCAGGGTTGGGGGCTTCTGGGGGCTCCTTGTCCTGCACCCTTGCAGTGCGGGCGGGTCTTTATTCTTGGGGCTCGGCCCTTTAGTCAGTGGGTCCCGGACCTGCCTATCTCTGCCCTCCAGCCAGAGCTTCTGTGTGAGTGACCGGAGGCCTCCAGCCAGCTGCCTGTCACCCTTGCAGCCCTCTGTCCATGCACCTCAGACCGGCGGGACGCAGGGCCCACTGGCCCCCACACTTCCCCAGCAACTCCTTCTGACTCAACACTGGGACAAATTTATCCATCAGACAGGACAAGACCACCACCTGTGCCAGGGGCTGCCATCCCCTGCCACCAGAGACAGTCCTTGTGGCCAGTGGGCAGTGAGTCACCCAGCTCCAAACCCCAAACCCCAAGGCATCAACCCTCTTCCAGGACTGAGGCTGGGTTCTCCAGAGCAGACACTGGAACGAGTCGAGTCGGGTGAAAGCCGTTTATAAAGGAAGGGGGAGGAGCCTGCCTCAGTGCTGCTGCCACAGCCCGGCCACCCTGCCAGCGAGCCTGGAGTGTCCAGCTCCCACAGGGGCTCAAACGCTGGTGTTTACACCCACCCGGCTCAGGCTCCCGGGCAGGCTGGCCAAAGGAGCTGGCCGCAGGAGGCGGGGCAGACCTTCCCGCAGGGCCCAGAGGCCCGGCTTTGCCCCCACCCCCACTCCAGGTCACCCCGTCCAGCAGTTAGTCAGCCGCCCCGCCCCCTCCCTCTCAGCAGTGTCCATTTGGATGAAAACGGNGGTCAGTGAGGGGAAACCTAGAGGGGAGCCAGTGCTGAGGGACAGTGTCTCGGAGAAGGCAGGTTCTCCCCGGGGCTGCTGGGACTCTGCCTGCAGAGGTTGGAGAGGGACGGGGCCGCAGGAGGAGCCCGGGCTCTGAGGTAGGACGGGCAGGGCAGGTGGCTTCTGACGAAGCGGGAGGCGCCGGGCGTGGACGCTTCGAGACGAGCTGGAGCACAGCGATGGAGCATAGCGAAGGCGGCTGCGGTGTGGGAAACAGCCCCAGAGAAGCAGCAGGCTATCCGGCAGCGTAGCGGGCCCCTTCGAGGTTTACCGCCATGCGTTTAACGTGAAACCATTTTCTGGGTGAACATTTCACTGCTTCGAGAAGGGGGATGGTAGGATTTATCCAGGTTTGGGAGTTTTGCCCATTAAGGAAGGTGGACAGAGACAGGGACCCCATAAGGATGGAGTGACGTTAGCTGATGCATAACGTCTGCCAGCAGCCACTTCTCCTCCCTGTCGGGCAGTCGGATGAGTGGAAGGGCTCCTCCCAGCCGGTCACCTCGACCCTCTGTTCTGCCTTTTAAAGACTCGCCATCAGGCGTGATGTAACTCTGGACAATTTCTTCTTTTTCAGGAAATTTGTGCCACACCTCGGATGTTTCCAGATAACCCCCAGGAAGGGCAGGTGAAGCAAGGGCTGCTGGGGGACTGCTGGTTCCTGTGCGCCTGCGCCGCCCTGCAGAAGAGTCGGCACCTCCTGGAGCAGGTGTCTGCAACAGCGCGGTTTCCCTCCCGCGCTCACCTTCCTGCCTGCCGTGCATAGGAAGGAAGTGGGGGGGAGGGGGCAGCTGAACCTCTTGTTCCATGAGGCTCTGCTGTGGCTGCTAGTGGGGGCCGCGGGGAGTGACAGCTCTGCTGTCAGGACACAGGCTCCGAGGCACAGACGCAGTGTCCCTCTCTCCTGCAGGGGTCCCGCGGGGTGCTTTCTCTCCTGCTCTGTCATCTCTTGAGCCCTGGGGGCTCATGTACTCAGAACCACGCGTGTGGAATACAAAGCCAGACATGCCAGCCCGATAGGAAAGGGCTAGCCGAGGGAGCCTGTGCCCTTAGCGGGGGGCAAGCTTCCTTAGCTAGCTGGTTTTTTTAGTTTGACTATAAATTGGTAAAAGATGGTCCAGAGTGTCCATGATGCCGGGTGGGCCCCACAGGAGCAGAAGGCCCGCTCACTTCTTCCCCGGAGTGCTCACGGCTTTCTGCTGAGTGTTGCCAATGAATGCAGCAGCGTGCGTGGATGGTGGATAGTGGTCGTCCCATTCAGAGCCCTCCCTGTCCCAGGCCCCGAGCTGTGCACAGCACGTCACTGGCTTTCATTCCCACAGGCCCGACCAGCTTTGACCCTTTTTTACAAATGAGGGCACTAGAACCATTGTCACCGTTTTTCCGGCTACAGAGTGGCAGAGCGAGGACCAAACAAGTCCCTAGGTGCAAAGCCCGCACTGCCTCTCAGGCCAGAACACCACAGCCGGCAGTGACCACGTGCCTGGGTGCTGGCAGAGGTCCTGAGCTCCAGGCTCCTGCAGGGGGTTGCTGTGCCCATGGCAAGTGCCCGTGGCGGCCTGCCGTCTACAGTCAGCTCTGTCCATACTTGGGTCTCGTGCTTGTAAAAGTCACATGTGTTTTGGATTCAGGCCCGGTGCTTGTTTGGACAGTGGGACATAATGGTAGACTTGAAACTTTTAGAGACACTTGGCTTTCTCATTGTGGCCTTGAAATATATTATTGAAAGGTCTGCTATTTCCTGTCTAGTGACTGGTTTTCCGCGAGCACTGGCAGCTCCGTGTGGAGCGAGGTTGAGTTGTTTGCAGAACTGTAGGGGACAGTGGGAGAATGGAGTTGTGGTCACACCCTGGTTAAGACTCTTGGGAAGCGCTGTGCTGTTTGTGTCTCATGGTTTCCGTTTGCCTCTCCCTGTGCACGGTAGGTCATTCCTCCCGGACAGCCGAGCTGGCTCGACCAGACGTACCGTGGCTCCTTCACCTGTCGAGTTTGGCAGTTTGGACGCTGGGTGGAGGTGACCATAGATGACCGTCTGCCTTGTCTTGCAGGGAGACTCTGCTTCTCCCGGTGCCAGAGAGAGGATGTGTTCTGGCTTCCGTTACTGGAGAAAGTCTATGCCAAGTACGCATGCTGGAGGCTGGTGGGGCCGGGCCAGGGCGACTGGGCCACAGC